AATTCTATTGCCAATAATGCAATACACGGTAAAAACTGGGGGGAGGGGGGCTAAGTACTAAGTTTTATCCTTATAATATGGGCGAGGATAGGTTAGGCAGGTCACGGAGGGGGAGGGGGGCAAAAAGTAGCCAGAAAGTGGTCATACGTAGTATAGGTACAACCCCAGCCCGATTTACGAAGAAGTACATCGGAGTTTTGTTACAAGAAAGCACATGTAACTTAAGCAGGAAGAGGTACGCGCTGACCCAACCAACCCGCCCATCATTGCCGAGCCTTCAATATGTCGTTCTCGTTTGCTGGTCCAGCACTTCCCTTACATTTCTCCGAGAAATCTGACTCGCTTTGACAGCGTATCCGACCCGATCCGGCCATCGAGTTGGAGTGACTTGGGAACTGTTGGTTCTGAACGTTCTCACAATATCGAATCCAAAATCTCACTACAAACGACAATTTTAGCATTTCTCTGCAAATTGCCAGAAATAAGAGCACTAGTCCGAAGATAGGGCATCGGCATCTGACTATCCCCCACGGAAGGATTGCCTAGTTTAGGGTTTAGAGGTTATTTTGCGATACTCACCAATCATAATCAAATGCTCTACATCACCAGTTAACGACACGACAACATGTGCTTCTAGCACTTCTGCTGCTTCCTCCACAATGACTGCAAAAATAAGGCAAATTACACGTTACAGACAGAGAATTAAGGCTATAACAACGGGAGTCCTAAACACTCTCACAACGACTGACTCATTTTTAAGTAAATACCAACGTTTTGGCGCAGCAGTATCACTGACTAATCAATCTGTCACTTAGCCTGTGTATTTTCCTAAGTTACTTACTGATAAAACAAGCAAATACCATGCTAACAAGAATTATTTCGTATTATTGATGAAAACAATGGCGTCAGTAAATTACGAAGGTTTTTGATCAAGAAAAATGCTGACGAAGGGGGAAAAAATCAGGAACGGAATAAGAGTCGACACTTGAGACCTACACACACGGTTTTATACGGAGCGTACGGAGCCACCACGAACTCCGTGCTTGTTGGTCTTGAGTGCTTGCATTTCCATTTTGATTTTACCTGAACAACGCTTTCAGTTCCTTTCGAATCAAAATGATTGTACATGAGAGGCAAGGAAGACATGCTTTTCCGATGCTCAATTTGTGAAGTGGAGACAAGAGTTGTACCCATTTAAAATTCAGGCAAAACCTTACCAACGCTGGGCTTGAGGTTCTTCAAAATTGTCTGGCGCGAAGCAGCGCACGAAGTGGTCATTCCGACCACAAGGCAAGTGGACATGACATTCTGGTCTTCCACCAGTTTCCATTCTCTGTACACGTTGTCTGCTTGGGCGTACTCATTTTCGATCCTGTCGATGGCGGGCTCCAGGAACACTGA